TCTTCCGGCCTGCTACTCTGTGCTACGCCCGTGCTTACCTTGCTCCCGGAGACCCGGTCCCTCTCGGGAGGGTAACAAGGGAAAGTGTTCAGTTCAGATCAGTGAGTAAGCACCAGCCCGCCCATGCTTACCTTGCTCCCGGAGACCCGGTCCCTCTCGGGAGGGTAACAAGGGAGCCGTCTGAGCACTAGTGACCATTTACATTATTAGCAAGGTATCAAATCCCCTTGGTGGGCCACAAGCACCTCACATTTCCACAGTCCCACTCAGTCATTTGGTAGGAGTTACAAAGACCACTGCTAGAAGGGCCATATTAAGTAAAATTCACTGCACCGCAGTATATTTCCTATGAACTGAACCACAGAATTCAACAGTACAGACTGATACTTCTGTGTCTGACTTCTTTCACTTGGTGTTATGTTTTTCAGATTTATCTACATTTTCACAAGTATCAGTGTTTCATTCCTTTTTATAGCTGAATAATATTCTACTGTATGCATATATCACATTTTCTCCATCCATTCATCTGTTGATGCAAATTTGAATTTGTTCTATCTTTTGGCTATTGTGAATAATGCTGCTGTAAATACTATGAAGAAGTTTTTGTTTGAACATCTGTTTTCAATTATTTGGGGTATACATCTGAGAGTGGAATTGTTAAGTTATATGATAATTCTATGTTTAACACTGGGAAATAGTCAAACAGTTTTCTACAGTGGTTGTACAATTTACATTCCAATCAGCAATGTATGAGGGTTCTGATTTCTCCACAACATCTCACTTGTTATTTTCTTCTAATTTTAATAGTCATGCTAATGGATATGACATGGTATCTCCTTGTGGCTTTTGATTTGTATTTCTCAAATAACAAATGATGTTGAGCAACTTTTCCTGTGCTTATTGGGCATCTGTTTATCTTCTTTGGAGAAATGTTTATTCAAGCACTTTGCCCATTTTTTAATTTGGTTGTCATTTTGTTGAGTTGTAAGAGTTCTTTATATATTTGGATACTAGAGCCTTAGTATATGCATGCTTTGTAAATATTTCCATTTATTCTGTAGGTTATCATTTTGTTTTCTTGAAAATTTTGAAAATTGAACTCCAATTTTATTTATTTTTTTCTTTTGTTACTCATGCTTCTGGTCTCATATTTAAGGATCCATTGCAAAACTCAAGTGTATCAAGATTTTATTCAATAGCTGTAATAGTCTCATGTACTTTAGGCATGTTGTCAGAGGGCACTAGTCTCTGGAGAGGTTATCATGCTTGGTTAAAGGGTTAGCAAAAAAAAGAGGAAGACTGTCAGCAAGATGGATTGCCACAGTGGCTGCAACAATGAGCTCAAGTATAGGAAGGATTGTAAGGTTGGTGCAGGACTAGGCAGTGTGTTGTTCTGTTGTACATAGGGTTGCTATGAGTCAGAGCCAACTTGATGGCATCTAACAACAACAATAGCTTGTATGTGCGTTAGTCAGGATTTTCTATATATAAGATCATGTCTCTGTCAATGGTGTTAGTTTTACTTCTTCCTTTCCAATTTAGAAGCCTTTATTTCTTTTTCTTATGTAATTGATCTGGCTTGAACTTGTAATACAGTGTTGAATAGAAATGGTAGAAGTGTACATCCTTGTCTTGTTCCTAATAGGGGAAAAGCTTCAGACTTTCACTATTGAGTATTATGTTAGCTGTGGGATTTTCAGGTTGAAGGAGTTCCCTATTACTGTTGTTGTTGTTATGTGCTGTCAAGTAGGCTCCAACTTCTAGCAACCCTATGTACAACAGAATGAAACACTGCCTGGTCCTGTGCCAGCCTCACAATCCTTGCTATACCTGAGCCCATCATTGCAGCTACTGTGTCAGTCCATCCTGTTGAGAGGGCCTTCTCCTTTTTCATTGACCCTCCACTTTACCAATCATGATATCCTTCTCTAGGGAATGGTCTCTCCTGACAGCATGACCAAAGTAGGTGAGATGAAGTCTGGCCATTCTCACTTCTAAGGAGCATTCCTAGTTTAAGTGATTCTATCATGAAAGGGTCTAGGGCTTTTGCAGAATGCTTTTTTCTGCATCAGTTGAGATTCTCATGTTTGTTTCCTTCATTTTATTACTGTGGTGCATTATGTTAATTGATTTTTTAAAAAATGAACTCCCACTGCATTCATGTGATAAATCCCACTTGATCATGGTGTATAATCTTTTAAACTTTCCTTTAAGCATTATTTCTGGCTCCATCCCATACCTGTAGGGCTTTGAACATACTGGTCCTCTGCCTGAGATTTTCTACATCTTCCCATTGGTGGCTGCTTTTCATCCTACAAGGAGCCCTGGTGACAACACTGGTTAAGCACTGGACTGCTAACCAAAAGGTTGGTAGTCCAACTACTCCATGGGAGAAAGATGTGACAGATTGCTTCTGTAAAGATTAAACCTTATGAAGCAGTTCTAATCTGTTGTATAGGGTCACTATGAGTCAGAATCTACTCAATGACACAGAGTCTTTTTGAGTTTTTCTAACCTATAGATTTTAGAGTCAATACTTAGGTTACTTGTTTCAGGAGCTCTTCCCTAACCACTGTATCTAACTAGCTTTCCTACCACAATCCTCTGTTCCCTAACTCAGTATGGAGTTACTCCTTGCTCCCTTGAAAGCATTTTACATTTTGTAATTACTTTTATTTTTGATTATTAATTTTCTTTGTTCCTACTAGACTGTTTGGCCTTCAGTCTCCACTGTGTGTGCACAATGCTTTACACGTAATGGACAGTCAATACACATATGGAATGAATGAATTTGTGTACATTACCAAGTCAAACCCACTGAAATATGTGGGAAATAAGAATGACTCTGACCACTTCAGGACATGTTGGCATTTAATCATACTTTTGGTCGATATTTATGTAAGTATTTAAAAGTTCAGTGAACTACAAAATTAGATACTCACCTAATGTAGATTTATTTTTGCTGACTAGCCAACAATGATAGCCAAACAGAGAAGACAAGCTGACAGAAAACATAGCTGCAGCAAAGAATAAAAACATAATATGGAACTTGGCTTGAGTATCAGGTAGGCCATTCTGAAAAGAAAGGAAAAAAAAAAAAATTTTGTCAAAGGGATAAGTATTCTCCCTACTTTTATAAGTAAATTAGTAAGATTTTGTTTTGTTGTTTGCTTGGATTTTTTTCTTTAAATTCAGATATGGACACAGATACATGGCTTTAAGTTAAAACTTTTGGGTGGGGATATATGTATTTTTAATATATTTATTTTTAATCTGAAATACATATATTTATTTTAATCTGATGATGTATGTGGGGGTAGATAAATATATATATACATATGCATATAGTCATCAGATTAAAATAAATGTTTACTGTAATATAAATATATATCTGGAAAACATATCAAAATTTGGGAACTTCATTTCAAATAACCAAAACATGGAAATATTATGATAGTAATGGTAGCGTGTGGAAGAATTATAACAGTGAGGATCAACATAAAAGGATATAAATACATACCATAAAAGAGAGTTTTTAATTCACTACCCTAACATATTTTTAATACACTACGGATTCACAAATGTTTAAACGGTCTTACTATAATGCTGGAAAATAAAGGCTAATTGGCACAAGCTGGCTTACTATTTTCATTGATGTTTTACATTACCACAAGCAATAGCATCAACTACAAGAACACAAACAGTGACATATCCACAATGCTTCAAACTATTCTAATAGTAGTGTTAAAGAAGAGGTTAACATTAGTGCATACCACTTGTCTAAAATAAACCTTCCACTGTCAGTGGGCTAAAACAGGCCATCTCAAAGCAAAAGCAGTTAGCTCTTACTGTTTGTAAAAGGAGACTCAGACTCACTCTAGAATGGAGGACTTGGGGCCAGAAACACTTAGTGAAGCACCAGGAGGCAATCCCTCTGATAAAAGGTCACACCATTTCAATACCCTGTAGCACTTGTCAGACTGACACAGGTTCAAAGGCCTCTTTAATGGCTTTTTACAGCAATGTCAGCACAATGAAAACTCTGGTCATTACTTTTCAAATATGTTTGTGGTTTGGATCTAAAACCACCCACAGAAATGAGGACCAGTGGTAATATAGTATCCTCTCAGACATTCACTAGGGATCATTCTTCACACTGGACACTGGAGATATTCTTGAAAGCATGTCCATTCACATGTACATTTCTAGTGCTTAACAATGTAGCTGGCACATAGCAGACACTCAATAAATCTTTGACACTGACTTTAGTTCAAATTTCACATGAATGATCAAGCAATTCAGAAAGCCTTAAAGGATAATATAATATAGATATAATAAGGCAGTTCAAGCAGGGGACAGAGTTTTTTTTTCCCCCCACCATTCATCATTTGGTATTCACAAGAAGTATTTCTGGGTATTTAAAATACTCAATTTAAATTTGGTTTTGCCTACATTTAAAATCTCTAAGTGCAGAACACCAATGAGTTGCCTAGAACCTAATCAAGTAATATCTATTAAAACTTTAAGATATTACAGAAGAAAAGGTTTAAAATAATTTTTATACATAAAGAAAATTATTTTTAAATATTAAAAAAAATCTTCTTATACTTTATAAAATACCTCTATTCTATGCAATCAATGCCTGAAATAATTTACTCCTGAAAATCTACATCACATATTTTGTTTACTAAAAAAGTTACCAAGGTAATGACTTACTGTCCAAAATTTGATAAAATACTGTAAATCCGTAGCAGCAATAAAAAGGCAATATAGCAGAGAATATGCCAAGAAAAGAAGGAAAAATTTATAATTTGAAAATCCAACACAGTTGTTCACCCTGTCAACAAAGCAAAAAGAACATTACCAGTAAATTTTACATCTTCACTAGTGTTTGGATTGAAAGAATTTGAAATTTATTTACATCTCTTTAAGTATAGTTCATATGATTTCTTTACACATACAAGCAAACATTAAAAAAATCCATTTCACTAAAGGAATTTGTGTCTAGTCTTTTACAATTCAATATTTAATAATCCTTTCATAAATCATGAAAAATGTAACTGCATTTCATGTCCAAATACAAAACACAAATAAGCACACGCTTAAAAAGCACAGAACCTGTAAGAAACCTAATATAGTCGGGTCGAATGGAGGACTTCACTAAGTTCTTCCTCTATGTTGTCTTGAAGTTTGATTTCCAATTATGTTTAAGTAATTTAAAATCTCTCAAGTTTCCCCAAATAAGACAGAATATCTTCACAAACTACACCTTGCTAGCAGTCAGCATACCACCGAAGCAAGGGTTGTCAATGCATATTAAATGGGAGGCTGAAAAAAAGACAAAGGACAGGGAACCACACAGCCAGTGTCATAATGCACATTTGACACTAAAGAAGTATAAGGCCTTCAGGAAGTGAAAGAGCCTATTAGGATTTCAATTTCTTTGTCTGTAATATAAGCATTCTGAGAGCATTTCTGAGAGCCAGCTCTACATTCTATGATTCCAAATATGAATCACAAATTCTCAGTTCTTCCTCTAAAATCATATCGTGGAGAGGTGGGGGTAGGGCTAAGAATTCAAGCTACACCATTAATAAACATAAACACAAAAATAATTCATTTTATACTCACACTGTCAATAAAACTTTGCCTCTCCTCCACCCCCCATAAAAACAGGGAAATCATTGGATGATCTTGTGTAAACCTAAGTGAGAACTGGCTAACATAATCATTGGTTGAAATAACTTTTACTAATTGGAATAATGAATGTATTACATAAAACACATGCATATGGCTTTCTTCTCCTCAGATGTCTTTTCTTCCCTCTCTAATGCTGGACAGATCATTATATTCTCTATTCACTTTGTTAATAAACCTAAACATTTTTCTTTCTAGATTTTTTTTAAAATGAAATTTTGTTCACATGAAAAATGTTTACATTTTCTAACTTTTAAAAAAATTCAGGTAAGGGAAACAGCATTAGAGTTAATAATTTGGGATCATAAGGGTGTCCTATATGACAAATAAATTCATTAAGAAGTCAAAAAGTATGGGTATGCATTGCGTGAAAAGAGTTGTATTTGCAGCTCTAGAAATTACAATGTGAGTAACAAACCAATTACTGACATTACCTTTTATGGTGCCTGCAGTGCAATAATGGCAAGAGAAAATACTGGACACGGGTCTCCATAAGCCTAGTGCAATTGTGTCTGTTTCCGAAGGACAGAAAATAGTCCCTTTGCTTTCTTGTGTCAGTTTCAAGAGGAGAGTCTGAGTAGACAAGGCTGGGGGCTGTAAGACTTTGGACAACACAGATGCAGACAATGACTCTTGTGGACTAGGGAAAATTGGAGGGATCAAGATTGTTTCTCTTCCTATACGAACTTAAGATGCAAATTTTGATTTAAAGGGTAAGTAGCATTTTTGTAGAAAGTAAAATAATTTTGATTGTAGATTTTATTACATCTACTTTAATTTACTTTAATTTCTATTTAAGAGCATGATGTAATTTCCCAAGTCAGAGCCAGGAAACAATGGACAGACTCAGTAAACAAAGTACTTTAGCATCTGATATGTATTGCACACTAAAGGAAATACAGTGACAACATTTATTTTGAATACCTTTATCCCTTTAAAGGAAACAGATTTCGGTTAGATACTTTAACTGCTTTGTAGACTCAATTAGAAAAGGAAGTGAACTTGTTCTGAGTCTGAGCTTCCTCCGTATAGAAAAGGAGTAACTTCATATGAATAAACAAAACACATTCCAGGCAAATACCCCTTTTATGCTGTTTAACTTCAGTGGAAAGAGCAATTGATCTCTGAGTCTAAAATGGAAAAAAAAAAAAAAGGGAAATGGGAAAGAATGTGCCCTTTGAAGTCCAAAAACCTTGCTATGTGATCTTGGGCCCACTCTAATGTGAATGAGCTGCACGTCCCTCCTCTTTAAAATGGGACAAATTATTTTTATGTCTGTCATTGTTATAAAGATTAAATACACACACACACACACACACACATACACTCTAACACATAATACCAAAAAACCAAACCCACTGCCATCAGAGATTCCAACACAAATTGTTAAGGAAACAGACTACCTTATCTTTCTCCCACAGAGTGGTTGGTGGGTACAAACTACCCAATGCTTTAAGCACAGTACCACTAGAGTTCCTTCTTACACCTAATAGACACTCAGTAAATTGAATGTAGTATTAATACAGTTCCACCACTTGTCTGTCAGTTTGTCATCCTGTGGTGGCTTGCAGGTTACTGTGATGCAGGATACTATGCCACTGGTCTTTCAAATACCATCAGAGTCACCATTGGTGGACAGGTTTCAGCAGAACTTCCAGACTAAGACAGACTAAGAAAAAAGAAGTGGCAGTCCACTTCTGAAAAATTTGGCTACTGAAAACCTTATGAATAGCAGTGAAGCACTGTCTAACACATCACTGGAAAACTTTAGTCTGATATAGTGCCAGAAGATGAGCACCTCATGTTGGAAGGCACTCAAAAAATAACTGGGCCAGAGCTGACTCCTCAAAGTAGAGCGAGTCAAACTTAATGACATGGATGGAGTAAAGCTTTCAGGACTTTCATTTGCTGATGTATCACAATTCAAGATGAGAAGAAAGAGCTGCAACATTCATTAATAATTAGGACATGGAATGTATGAAGCATGAATCTAGGAAAGTTGGAAATTGTCAAAAATGAAATGGAATGGATAAAGAACGATACACTAGGCATTAGTGAGCTGAAATGGATTGGTATAAGACAGAGCATCCTGGCCTTACAGATAAATAGGACAGTTAAGAGAGCCATCCCTCCATCCTATCTACCCTGACCCTCGCTGGGCTATCCAAAACCAGCCTGAGTGGGCTTGGCAGCAATCTTAGTACCCTAGGTGACCTTTAGGTCATTAAATGCCTCAAAATATTAACCTCTCTGCCTCTGGGTGGAGTTTAGCTGCCACTTTCTATACAGGTGATGTATGGAGAAGTATGCAACCATAACTGCACCTGGGTAGAATGCAAAAGTACACATACCCATGATTGTGTATGACCGTCTCTGTGTTTTCCCACCTTGGTCTCTTGTTTACTGGCCACAAAAAAATCACGCTGAGAACAGCCTGGATTTTAACTGACAGCAGTATTAGCCATTTTGAATTGGACAATCATACAGTCTATTATGCTGGGAATTATAAATTGAAGAGCAATGGCATCACATTCATCATCAAAAAGAACATATCAAGATATATCCTGAAGTACAGTGCTGTCAGCAATAGGATAATATCCATATGCCTTCAAGGAAGAACAGTTAATACAATTATTATTAAAATTTACCAAATGGCATCAACCACCAAACCTAAAGATGAAGAAATTGAAGACTTTTATTAAAATGTGCAGTCAGAAACTGACCAACATGCAATCAAGATGTATTGATAATACTGGTGAATGGAATGTGGAAGCTGGAAACAAAGAAGAAGCATTGGTTGTTGGAAAATACAACTTTGGTGAAAGAAATGACAAGGGAAATGGCATGATGTCTTGTTAAGACGAAGAACTTATTCACTGCAAACACCCTTTTTTGACAACATAAACGGTGACCATACACATGGATCTTACCAAACGGAATACACAGGAATCAAATTGACTACATCCGGGGAAAAAAAGCAACAGAGAAGCCCAATATCATCAGTTAGAAAAAGGCCAAGAGCTGACTCTGGAACAGACCATGAATTGCTTATATGCAAGTTCAAGTTGAAGTGAAAGAAATGTAAATCAAGCCTCTGAGAGCCAAGGTAGAACCTGGAGTATACCATCTGAATTTAGAAACCATCTGAAGAACAGATTTGACTCATTGAATACCAGTGCCCAAAACCAGACGAGTTGTGGGATGACATTAAGAATATTATACATGAAAAAGCAAAAGGTCACTGAAAAGAAAGGTAAGGAAGAAAAGACTAAAATGGAATTCAGAAAAGGCTCTGAAACTTGCTCTTGAACAGAGAGTAACTAAAGTGAATGGAAGAAATGATGAAATAAAAGAGTTGAACAGAACATTACACAGGGTGGCTCAAGAAGATGAAGTAAAGTATTATAATGAAATGTACAAAGGCCTGGAGTTAGAAAATCAAAGGGGAAGAACATGCTTGGTATTTCCCAAGCTAAAAGAACTGAAGAGAAAATTCAAGCCTTGAGTTGCAATACTGAAGGATTCTATGGGCAAAATAGTGAACGATGTAGGAAGCATCAAAAGAAAATAGAAGAAATACACAGTCACTATACCAAAAAGAACTGGTTGACATCACATTAATTTGGGAGGTAGCATATGATCAAGAATCTATAGTACTGAAAGAAGAAGTCCGAGCTGCACTGAAGACATTGGTGAAAAATGCACCTCCAGGAATTGATAGAACACCCATTGAGATGTTTCAACAAATGGATGCAGCACTGGAGGTGCTCACTCATTTATGGTCAACCTACTGGAAGAGATCCATATCCGTGCCCATTCCAAAGAAGGGTGATTCAACAGAGTGTAGAAATTATCAGATAGTATCCTTAATACCATAAGCAAGTAAAATTTTGCTGAAGATAATGCAAAAATGGTGGTAGCAGTATATTGAGAGGGAACTGCCAGAAATTCAAGCCAGATTCAGAAGAGGATGTGAAATGAGGGATATCAGTGCTGATGACAGAAGGATTCTGACTGAAATCAAAGAATACCAGAAAGAGGTTTACCTGTGTTTTATTGACTATGCAAAGACATTTGACTATATGGATCCTAACAAATTATGGATAACATTGCAAAGAATGGGAATTCCATAACACTTTATTATGGTCATGAGGAAGCTGTACATAGATAAAGACGCAATCATTTGAAGAGAACAAAGGAATACTGCATGATTCACCATTAGGAAAGGTGTGTCTCAGGTTTGTATCCTTTCATCATGCTTATTAAATTTGTATACTGGGCAAATAATCTGAGAAGCTGGGCTATATGAAAAACTCTGCATCAGGATTGGAAGATGACTGATTAACAACCTGCAATGACACAATCTTGCTTGCTCAAAGTGAAGACCTGAAGCACTGATTGATGAAGGTCAATTGCTATAGCCTTCAGTACCTCAATATAAAGAAAACACAAATCTTCACAACTGGACCAATACGCATCACAATAAATGGACGTAAGATTGAAGTTGTCAGGGATTTTGTTTTACTTGGATCCACTATCAACACCCATGGAAGCAGTGGTCAAGAAACCATAACAATGTACTACACTGGGCAAATCTGCTGCAAAAGATCTCTTTAAAGTATTAAAGAGCAAAGATATCACTTTGACGACTAAAATATGCCTGACCCAAGGGATAATATTCTCAGTATCTTCATATGCATGTGAAAGCTGGGCAGTGAATTAAGAAAGATGAAGAAGAAGTGATGCCTTTGAATTGGGTCTTGGCAAAGAACACTGAAAATACCATGAACTGCTAAAAGAATGAACAAATCTGTCTTGGAAGATGTATGGCCAGAAAGCCCCTTAGAAGTGAGAATGGCCAGACTTTGTCTCACATATTTGGGTTGTGTTGAAAAGACCGTATCATGCTTAGTAAAGTAGAGGATCAGCAAAAATAGAGAAGACCCTCAATGAGATGGATTGAGTTAGTGTCTGCAACAACAGGCTCAAGCATAGCTCGATTGTGGGGATGGCACAGGACCACGCAGTGTTTCATCCTGTTGTATATAGGGTTTCTAGGAGTTGGAACCAACTGGAAGGCACCTAACCAACAACATTAATATAGTTCACTAACAAATGAAAATTTTATATTAGAAAGAAAGATGAGTCTATGACAAAACATCCAATAATGCATATACTATAGGTTCTCTATTTTATTTAAAATTAACCTCATATCTATATATGAGGTTAATCCTCTGACCTTGATGGGTAATCTAAATTGGCCATAGCTGATATACTGAAATCAACAATAGAAAAGCACTATTTATCTAATTTTCAAATGCTCTTAAGTCAATAAATACTGAACTTCAAAACCATATACAAGACCTGTATAAAAAAGGCTGCCCTATAGTCCAGGAATAGCCTAAAGTTTCTTTCATAAGAGATTGTTAAATTCACATAATGGCTGTAAAAAAGAACAAGGAAGTCATTTATGCACTGATATGGAAAATGTTAAGTGAAGGATATGTTAAGTGAAGAAAAAAAAAAAAAGAGAAAGTCCGTAATAGAATCACTAGTGAAAAAAAACAGAAAAGGTAAAGAGACACACGCACATATACACACTGATACCCGAAAGAGTACATGTGACACAGTAGAACTGTCCCATAGAATTTTCTTGACTGTGTTCTTTACAGAAGCTGATTGCCAAGTCTTTCTCACGTGGAGCCACTGGCTAGGTTCAAACTGGCAACTTTTTGGTTAACAGCCTAGTGCTTAACCATTGCACTACCAGGGCTCCTATTAGTTAATTAGGACTTTCAAATAATCCTCTACTAAGTTACCTGATTTCTTGACTTATAAAAACTACAAAATATGAATGAATTCTAAGTGGGACTTGCTTAAACATATTATCTGTGTATTTCTGTATTTGCTATTTTACTTTTTAATATCAAGCTTTTTTAAAAAATAAATCGTCAAAGCTTTAAATGACTTAATTCTTCATTAGAAACTCCCACTGAGGTACTGTGTATAGTTTATATACACATATTTGTGTGCAATCTTGGAAAGTATTTTAAAATCTCTATGTTCATGCATGTTCATATAAAAATAAATTTCGCTCTGAGTGAACATAAAAAGTAACTTTTATTTTATTAACCTACTGTTTTTAAAATTATTTCTTGGAAAGTGTCCTGAAGAAAGGCCCCTTTGGGCTCATTAAATAAATATTAGAAATTAAATCTAAAAGCACCAGCTAGGTCTGCTAAAGCAATGTTAATAAATAGATTTAAATAGGTAAATGATTCAGTTTACTAACATCTATAAGGACTAGAAACTTGTTTAAGCCATACTCACCAGGGACAATGATGATCCATCTTCAAAATACATCTAAGAAATAAAACAAAACAGAATCCAATACCCTTCAAAACTTTAATCACATTAAATTTTTAAAAATATATATAAAACAGCTATTTCAAAAGAGTTGTAGCACCTAACATACTGCAAAAGTATTGACTTACCTAAAAATGGGATAATAGCAAAAGTCCTCATCTAAAATAAACACTACATATAACCATATGTACATACTTGTATGACAGAACCTTCCAAACCAAACCAAACTAACTCACTGCTATCAAATCGATTCTGACTCACAGCAACAATTGTTGGGTTTCTGAGGTGGTAAATCTTTATGGAAGTAGATTGCTCAGTCTTCCTTCCAAGGAGTGGCTGGTGGTTTGAATCACCAGCCTTCTGGTTAGCAGTCAAATGCCTTAGGCACTACGCCACCAGAGCTCCTTAATAGAACCTTACATTTAAAATATATACATTTAAAAAGGCAAATCAAATAACACATTTTTTAAAAAAAGAGAAAATATACAAATATTTTACGCTAAAGGAGCTGTAAAACATGAACATATTTGCAAAAATATTAGACAAAACTTTTCCTTTAATATCAATCCTTAAGCCAATAGTGCTGTCCTTACAGTACATTGAAAATATACTAACATCTGACAATCATGAAGTGAATTAAGCTATTTTTACAAAGACAGAAATTAGTCGTAGAAGAGGTATTTGCTAAACTGAACCAGCCAAAACAGAACTGCTAAAAATTGTGCACTTTATGTCAGTGTGAATGAATCTGGGGGCACAAGCCATACTCTTATTAATGCAAGTGATTATACACATCATATCTCTTACATAAACATCTAAGAATTATAAATAAGAAGAAAAGGTGATACTTCAGACAACAGTGAGAAAAGGAGTAAAAGGTTTTCTTACTTATCACAGACGGAACAGTGGTGGCAACGATCTGGTTTTATAAGTTGGCATCTGTCACAATATCGGATTGCTAGGAACAAAAACCTCTACTTAGCCTTAGATTTAACATTGGATTGAATGTATAATTAAAAGATTTTATTATCTATCCCAAAGAGCATACTGAATTTAAATTTGATAAAAACAACATATTTGACCCTGTTTAAATACAAAAGTGGAATGACTTGCCTGCAGCCACAGTTTTCTGGAGATATTTCCCAAGAATAGAGAAGCTCTTGTGGAAATTATTCTAAGGCATTCTCAACTGTCAGTGGGCTCACAAAGGTTACAGATATGTCTGTTTACATCAAAGTTAACACAATGGCCCCCTTAACTAAATTAATTATTGCCTGTGTCCTGCTAGGATGACTAAGTGAGGTATACCATAACAGAAATACATTTTAGAAATTCATGAATAAACTTCATTAGTTCCTTAAATTGGAAATAAAAATCTCACATCTTTTCTGTTGGGCAAGGTATAAGATTAGGTGTGTTGGAAGAAATACTTCCAGGAAAGAATTTTAATTCATGTAACTGAAGCCCTGACCTTTTCTTCTCCAATTCAAGTATCAGAAACATAAACCATAATGGATGACTGATTTCAGTACATAAGCATTTTATAGGCTTCAACATCTACCAAAATTATTGGAAAGCAATTACTAAACTGGCAGTCTACTAAGATCAGTAAAACCAAGCTAATGAACTTAAAGTTGGAAAAATTACTTGTAATACATAACTATCAATAATACTATAGTATTATTGAACCAGCGAAAACAGAACTGGTAAAAATTGTGCACTTCATGTCAGTGGGAATGAATCTAGGGCACAAGCCAAACTCTTATTAATGCAACTGATTATACACATCATATCTCTTACATAAACATCTAAGAATCATAAATAACATTACGTTAGCTAATATTATAATTCCCAAAAATGGAAATTGTTGCAAAACACTAAGAATACAATGGATTCTTTTTAGATGACAAAGCCTATATGGAGCTGTTTTCAATGTTGAAGTAAGTTCTTAATCATCCTCTTACAACTTCTCTTTTCAGGAATTGCAGAGATGAAAGGCATGCTCTTCATTTAAATCAAAAAGTGTCATAGGTACATTACAAGGGAAGCAAATTATTAGAGTCTAAGGCAATGTTGTCCAGAAGAAATATAATGTGAGCCATATGTGTAATTTTAAACTCTCTAGTAGTCACATTAAAAGAAGTGAAGAGAAACAGGTAAAATTAATTTTAATAATATACTTTATTTTACCAAATATATCCAAAATATTATTACAATATATAATCAGTATAAAAATATTAATGAGGTATTTTATAATCTTTTTTGATTGTGACGATGGTGCAGATCTGGGCAGTGTTTCATTCTGTTGTACACAGAGTCACTATGAATCAAAGCTGACTTGATGACATCTAACAACAACAGGAAGTCTCTGAAACCTACTGGATATTTTAAACAATCTAGACAAGCTGCATTTTAAGTGCTCAATAGCCATGTGAGCCTAGTGGCTACCCTGATGAGCAGACAGGTCTCAAGTCACCAAATTTCCAGATGAGTTGTGGTAGGCAACGCTAAATTATCTCTAAATGGGTAATTATCTCTAACTTAAAGTATACAGGGCAAAAACCTTTCAAATTTAATCGAAATAGCGCCATAACTCACAGGAAATCAAAACAACTTAGAAATAAGTTTTCTGTTTACAGTTGTTCATAAACATATTTAATCTTTTAATAAAAATTTGAGTATCATATTATGTTCAACTAAAATTATCTCACTGTAATTTTAAATGAACAATCTGATTGTTGTGCAAAACCTACTAACAGTTGAAACAAACAAACAAAAAAACAAACCCACTGCCATCAAGTCGATTCCCATTGGGTGTCCAAGGCTATAAATCTTTATGGAAGTAGATTGCCTCATCTTTCTCCTGTGGAGCACCTGATGGATCTGAACCACTGACCTTCTGGTTAGCAACCATATGTCTTACTCATTACACCACCAGAGCTCCTTCCTTACTAACAGTCAAGGAGGCTTTTAACTGTTTTCTTGGATTTATAAACACTTCTTCATATATAACTCATATATATTAGTTATAATTTTAAAATTTTTTGATGAAAAACACTATAAATGATATAGATAAAATACTGTAAATATAGTTAATTAACAATGATAAACTAACTACATCACCTCTAACTGTTATCTTCCTAGGCAAAACCTATAAATTTTTTTGTAGGATAAGATTGAGGGCAGGAGAGCTAACATGCAGTTCAAAGCCACCAGCCACTCCTCGAAAGGAAGATCGGTCAATCTATTTCCACAGTGATTACCTCGGAAACCCAAGGAAGGGTCGCTATGAGTCACATTCGACTCTAGGGCAGTGAGTTTGGTTTTGGTTTTAATCTTTATAGGAACAGATCACCAGGTTTTTCTCCTGTGGAGCCCCCTAGGTAGGTTTGAATTAACAACCTTTTGGTTATCAGCTGAGCACCACCAGTGCACCTCTCTCTGTGGAGTAGTCCACATAAACCAAGAAGCTCACATTTTTCCCTTTTGGATATGGAGGAATTACTAGAGATTTAGAATAGATGAAAAACCCTAAATTATATTATCACCCACTTTCTTCAATTCTTTATAGTATATAGTGTTGAACAGCAAATGAATCTTTCAGTTGCTTTATTTCACAAACTTTCCCACAAGGAAGAAGGAAGTAATCCATACAACTAAAGGGATCTAAGAAGTATGTGGCTCAGAGGTAAAAAAAAAAAGACCTTCTGCCTTGGTACTGCTGTGGCCCCTCCACTGAAAGTCCATTCATAATGATGCTTACCTTCCAGAAAACAAAAACAAACGAACTCACTGCTGTTGAGACGGATCCAACTTACAGCCACCTCTCCTTTGGTATCACTACACAAGTAGATCACCCAATCTTCCTTTCAAGGAGTGGCTGGTGGGTTTGAACCGCCAGCCTTCTGGTTAGCAGTCAAATGCCTTAGGCACTATACCACCAGGGCTCAAGGCATTATAATATATTTATTATACTTCATGTCATTCAATTTAGTCAATACTTTTATCCAGCTAATAATGTTTTTAGCAGGCATTCAGAAGTTTTACATTGGAAATAGAAATGAAAATTGTATTAGAAACCCAGTTTCTATTCCAGACTGTCACAAATAATGAGAACCACAAGTCTGTCTCAGGATATAGACATAAAATACCTGAGAGGAATGAGCAATGACATCTTTAACATTATATAAGCTATACAAGGAGATAACTTATAAATCCAAAGTGTAGTTTTAGGAGCTCTGGTAGCATAGTAGCTAAAGCACTTGACTGCTAACCAGAAGGCTGGCGGTTCAAACCCACCAGCCACTCCTTGGAAGGAAGGTTGGGCAATCCTACTTCCGTAGCGATACTGCCTCAGAAACCCAAGGAGGGGTCGCTATAAGTCGGGGCCGACTCGACGGCACATAACAACAACAACAGTTGTTATTATTAATGAAAAACATTTGTTCTGGTATGACACATGCTTTTCCCCTTTTCTAAGTCAGTAGTATTTAGGGGTATAGTGGAAAAGCCCTGGATGAGGAATGAGGAGACCAGGTTTTTGCACTTTGTACCATCATTAACTAGTTTTGGAAATTCAAGCAATACTTTATTAAGGAAAACAAACAAACAAACAAACAAAAAACAAAGCCATTGCTGTTGAATCAATTTTGACTCATATTGACCTCATGTGACAGAGCAGAACTGTTCCAAAGGGTTTTCTTGGCTATAACCTTTATGGAAGCAGATCCCCATGCCCTTCTGTGGTGCCACTGAATGGGTTTAAACTGCCAGCTTCTTAGCAGTTGAGTGCAAACCATCTGCACCACCAAGAAACCTGAAAACATCAGTTGCCACAAGTCAATTCCAATTCACGGTGACCCTATACTGTCACAAAAGAACTACACCTCATAGAGTTTTCAGTGGCTGTTTTTTCAGAAGCTGATTGCCAGGGCTTTCTTCTCAGGTGCCTCTGGGTGAACTTGAACCTCCAATCTTTCCATTAGTAGCCAAGTACACTAACAATTTGCCCTACCCAGGGGCAAATTAATAAATAATAAGGAGGCTTAAATTTCCTCAGTATTTGCTTTAATTATATAGGGTGAATACACATAAATATGCATAAGCACATCTCTGTCTTTGTGGGACAGAACCAATATAAAGGGAGCTCTGATGGCGTAGTGCCTAAGTCATTTGACTGTGCATTAACTCAGAAAATTATCACTTGCTTATGGAGAAACAATGAAAACAAACAGGATAAAATTGTGTGAGAGATTCAAAGTTGTATCCAATTATGACTCCAAAGTGACTTAGAAACAAATGTAAATAATATAAAAACATTAATGAAAGAATTTACATTCTTTTCTTCATACTGCCTTTGAAACTGATTACACATTTTACACTTAAAGCACACTGCAATTTGTATTAGCCATGTTTTATGTCTGCATGAGCCACATGGGGCTAGTTGTTACCATAATGGGCAGGACAGGTTGAATGTCACCAAATTTCTAGGTGAGTTTTGGTGGGCAAGTATCAACAGTCCATGTTTGTCAGTTTTTAAGACAACTAGTTAATTAGATAACTGTTGAATTATCTACAAAATCTGACTCAAGTAAGAGGTTTATTAATGTAATAGTATTTTTAATTAGTGTAAGTTTTAAAGATAAAGAAATTGTGCCAATCCTTATATTGCATTTTACATTATTTATATAATTACTGTTTTATACTTATGGAAAAGACATGTAAACATTAATTTTATACTCACAGTACATATTGCTTTCTTAAATTAAATAATAATAAACTCACTGCCACTGAGTCGATTCCAACTCATAGCGACCCCCTTGGGTTTTGGGTTGTAAATCTTTATAGGAGTAGATTGTCCCCTCTTCCTTCCATGGAGCAGCTGGTGGGTTTGAACCACTGATCTTCTGGTCAGCAGCCAAATGCCTTATCCACTATACCACCAGAGCTCCTTAGAAGGATCTAAAATTAAAACTTTAAAAATAAATGTTACTACAGGAGATCCTGGATAGAGGAGGAGAAAAATGTGAAACAAAACTCAAAATCATAAAAAATCACAAAAAAAACAGGCTTACTGATCTGATAGAGACTGGTGAAATTTCCAAGACTATGGGGCTCTAGACCCCCTTCAAGTCTGGAACTGAACTCACTACTGTGGCTTCCAGCCAAACAATAAAAACCCTAAAACCAAACCCACTGCCATTGAGTGGAATCTAACTCATAGTAACCCCCATTGGGTTTCCAAGGCAATAAATCTTTACAGAAGTATATTGCCCCATCTTCCTTCAGTGGAGTGGCTGGTGGGTTTGAACAACCAACCTTCTGGTTAACAGTCAAATGCCTTAGGCACTGCGCTACCAAGAGTTCCCTAGGCAAATAATAGACAGGCATATAAGGTGAACATTTATACCAGGTAGGTACACTCCTTAGAACATTCCACCATGGGAGTTCAGAAGGGCAGTATTTGAGCAGGGAGGTAGCTGAAAGGGCAGGAGTGCACAGGAGAGAAGAACACAGGGAAAAAGTAATCACATGGAGGAAGTGGGAAGAGAGCTGTTACACTGTGGGGACTGCAATCAATGTCATGAAACAAAATGTGTATGAACTGCTATATGGAAAGTGAATTTGCTCTGTGAACTTTCACCCAAATCATAATAATAATAATTTTTAAAATGCTACTGCAAATGAAGATTTCAGCAGTTCTAACATCTTCATTAAATCACAATGAAATAGGCAGAAGAGAGTGAGAGTCAGTCCTGTCTTGGTTGAGATCTCCATGCCACAGTGTTATTCATGTTTCCATTCTCTGTGTGGAATTATACAGGGGAAGATTTAATAGCAATTCTAAGCACAAGACAATATTTTAAAATGAGAGTTTGACAGTTTCAAGTATATAAAAGTGCTTTCTAATAGTCACCACAATACATCTTTCTGTGTTGGAACTGTATACTATTCCAAAGTGCTCATTATCAGCACTTACCTCCAGACATGGTCCTAGTATAGATGGGAAGATCTTTGGCTGCTCGCCTAAGAACTTCCTGATGGGCTTCTCCTCTTGGCTCTCTCTCCAGCAGTTCTTTCTCTGCATAAGAGAGATGGAACTGTGGAATAAATTTAAATTTTAATCAGTGTTTGCAAAGAAGCGACAACATATCAGTCTATTCTGCTATACCTAGAAAAAGGCACTTATGAAATATTAATTGTTTATTATGCACATACACACACACAAATATACATATAATGGAGTTTGAAATCTGGGTAAGTCTATTAATCTCACTGATCATTAGTTTATATATATCTAGAAAAAGGGAATAATCATCATAGTCATAATAAAAAAAATACCTACTTTCCCAGATGCTTCTGAAACTCAAAAGGAAGAGAATATGTGAAAATGCTTTATAAACTGTAGATTTCTATCCAAATACTAGTTATCTTAATAGAGAAAATGGTCAAATAAACAAATCTGGCTCCACTGGCTGAGCTTTTCATCTGGATGCCATTAAGAACAAAAGTAGAGATGAATCGATTGAGCATGTTTCCTCATTTAAGTGAGCTTTAACTTGGTGATAATGTTACTTTTCTAGTATTCAAAGTGCTAATTATTAATATTCTTTCTACTTCCAATTTGTGAAAAAAATTAAAAACATTTATTAAAGAAAAATAAAGATTTGTTTGGGCTCCAACTAGACAATAACAAAGATCAGTTTAAAAAGTCGGTTTGAACTCCTATACATATGTTCCAGGTGACATATACAAGGACATTCACAGCATCATTGTTTGAAACACCAAACTAATAACAACCCAAATGTCCATCAAAGGAAAAATGGATAAATTAATCAGGGTATAATATATCCAAATAGTAGGATACTGTCTGGCATTTAAAAATCAACAAATGACAGCTGTGCACAACAAAGGAAATCATATTGACATAAGTTTGAACAACAATAAAATCACCTTATAGAACATATAAAGAATTATTCAAAAATATGAATTTAAAAACCTGCAAGGTAAACAATTTATGTGATTATTTAGTGATATTTACCTGGTGATATGTGTGTGTGTGTATGTGTATATGATAAAGTTATAAAGAAAACCAAGGGAATGATTAGTGTGAAATTCAGAAAGTTTTTACCTTTTGAGGAATACAGGGAAAAATACAACTGGGGAGAAGTACACAGGAGATATAAATATATAAATAATATTTTGTTTCTTAGCAGAGTGACCTGTTTAGGCATTTTTATTATATTATACCTTAAACTGGACATTACATATACGTTTTTGTATGTATAATATATCTTACAATTTTGAAGTTTTTAAAAGTATGCCAATGAAGAAAAACAATGTGAAGAAAATGAGGTCATGATATTTGATTCAAAATCTGTATTGTAAAACACTGAATTTAAAAAAAATTCTCATTGCAACTTGGGTGAAAGTTTACAGAGCAAATTCATTTTCAATACAGCAGTTTATATACATTTTGTTTCATGACATTGACTGCAATCAACATTAAATTTGTTTCAAAAATAGAAACAAATCTCTAGTGTTCAAATGTAAATAATTTTTAAATTACCATAATTTTCCTATATATTTTTTGTTTCATATAATTATAAAATTTCAGACTTATTAAGGTAACAGACCAAAGATAAGTTTTCATTAAATAGGAAATTTACATAAAATATGAATTATTCTTAATTAGTATACCAGATTTACTACCATTAAACTAGTAGCTACGTTAGAACCATGCTTCTTCTCAGTTTTTTTTAAGCATTAGAAAAAAGTATTCTCTAGATTAAATATTCCTCCTCTTATAAGTTCATACCAATTACTTGCCCATTAATCAATCCCATAATGCTTCAAGATTAAGCGTCAATTAATCCTTTTATAAATGAGCACTAATAAATATAGCCTTTATTAAGCATTATATAATGTACACTTTATATACATAAAAGTGGACAGCCTCTTCCTTTTTCCTAGTCTGTCTCAGTCTATAAGCTGGGCTGTGCACCAGGTGCATCTTGCTGGGTTTTAAACACCAGAGGCTCAGCCTCAAAACTCAAGTCTACCGGACAGTTGCAGATTGGA